GATCCTTTGTTTTGATATTTTCTGATGAAGATGCATGGACTGATCGGATCGTTTTCGTAGCCTTCTCTGATGAGATATTCGCTTAACCGGTTATACCACATACGTCCGCTTTGTTTCAATCCATATAAGGATTTGTTCAGCCTAATGCAGTGTTTATCACGAGATGCATGCTTATCTTTGAGCTCAATACCATTTGGTAATCTCATATAGATTTCACTGTCCAGTGGTCCATAAAGATATGCGGTTACAACATCCATTAACCGCAAATCTAAGTTTTCTCTTATGGCCAGACTTATGAGGAATCGAAATGTAGTTGCATCCACCACTGGAGAATAAGTCTCCTCATAATCGATTCCGGGTCTCTGTGAGAATCCTTGTGCTACAAGGCGTGCCTTGTATCTAACGACTTCGTCGAGTTCGTTTCTTTTACGCACAAAGACCCATTTGTTTCCCACTGGTTTAACATCGAATGGTGTCCTTAAGATCGGACCAAACACATTCCGTTTCTTTAAACTATTCAACTCCACGTTTATGGCTTCTTTCCATTTCAGCCAATCTGATCTACGAGTGCACTCAATTATAGACGTGGGTTCTAGATCCTCTTGCGTGTGCGCAATCTCAAGTGCTACCTTGTATGCAAAAGTTTCATTGATGTCGACATCTTTTCTGTTCCATAGAGAACCGAATATGATATAATTGATTGAGATCTCATTATTCTCAATCCCTCCAGAACCTTGAGTTTTGGCGTCCCAAACCTCTTGAGATGGTTCGATAGGGTAAGTATCAGCTTAGGCTGTATCCGTGTTCTCTTGAATCCCGGTTTCAATCATTGCACCTTTCTTTGATTTCCGGGGATTCTTATCTTTGGAACCTGGTGGTCTGCCACGTTTCTTACGTGCGTCAGACTCTGTAGCAACTTGACTTTTCCCTGAGGGGACATCTATTCGTACTGGTGCATTACAAGCTAGTATGTACGATTTGGTAACTTTGTTCGGGTCAGCAAAGGAATCTGGCAGTTGATTAGCTAGCTTTTGTAAATGTATAATTCTTTGGACCTCTGAATCACATTCTAGAGTCCGAGGATCTTGCCATTGTGTGGATTATTGATTCCATGAAAGTTCTTTTACCAGCTTGTCTGTCTCACCACCTAATCTAGGATATACCAATTCATCAAATCGGCAATCTGCATATCTGACTTTAAACAGATCTCCTGTAGTTGGCTCGAGATATTTTATGATGGTGGGAGAATCAAAACCAACATATATTCCCATCCTCCTTTGAGGTCCCATTTTAGTCCTCTGTGGTGGTGCAATGGGTACATAGACTGAACACCCAAATGTTTTAATATGGGAGACGTCTGGCTCATGACCCGTTAGCAATTGGGATGGTGAATATTTGTGCTCACTAGATGGTCGTATGCGTATTAGTTCAGCGGCATGTAAGACTGCGTGTCCCCAAGCTGAGACCGGGAGTTGTGACCTCATGAGTAATGGTCTAGCAACCCATTGAATTCGTTTAATGAAGGATTCAGCTAATCCATTTTGTGTATGGACATGTGGAACGGGATGTTCAATACTTACCCCCATGGACATACAATATTCATTAAACGCTTGGGAAGTGAATTCACCAGCATTATCAAGACGTATAGTCTTTAATGGGAAGTCTGGAAAATGGGCTCGTAATCTGATGATTTGGGCCAATAACCTAGCAAAAGCCTGGTTCCTAGAAGAGAGCAGACAGACATGCGACCAGCGGGTCGATGCATCAATGAGGACCATGAAATATCTGAATGTCCCACAAGGTGGGTGAATTGGTCCACATATGTCTCCTTGGATTCTTTCCAGAAAGTTCAAGGTCTCTTTAGACACTTTGACTGGTGAAGGTCGGGTAATCAGTTTCCCTTGTGAGCAAGCTGTGCACTTGAGGTACTGAGGGAAAATACCATTTGGTTTAAGACTGTGCCTTTTAGAATTTTGGACTAATTTACGCATCATGTTCGCACCGGGATGACCCAGGCGATCATGCCAAATAGTGTAATCTAAAAACCGTGCTTTGATAGCAGCATTAGCCTCAATCATATTGACTTTAGCATGGTAAATGCCAGTAGATACGGCGGGTATAGTTTCAAAAACTTGTTTATGGCCATTTATTATTTTAGTGATAATTAAAAACTCTTTGTTCCCTTCATCCTGAGTTTCGATATGGAAACCATTCAATCTTATGTCTTTGAAACTCAATAGGTTTCTCTTAGAACTGGGTGAGTATAATGCATCAGAGATGTCTAGATATGTGCCATTTGATAACAACACATTAGCTTGGCCATGGCCCTCTATTAGGCTCGAACTACCCGCTATAGTGCTAATGTTTGCGGTTTTGATTACTAAATTTATGAAGTAATTCTTGTCTTTTAGAATGGTGTGGCTCGATCCACTATCCACAATGATATCCATATTGTCTTGCATATCTTTATTAAACAAGAATTATAATTCAATAACATGCAAAAATGAGATGTAAATAAAACATTACTCCATAAATTAAAATGTAAAAGCAAAAGGTCTTAAAAATCCAAAGTAAAGGCAATAAATCCCAAAAACAAAAGATAAAAGTTTAAGGAGTAATGAAAAACAAATTCAGATTTTTGAGAACAATCAAGAAGGTCGGAGAGCTCATAATCCATGCCATCAATCTTATCATCCTTTGAGTCATCTTCATTGACTTGATGAACCAGGTTAGCCTCATGATTATCTTTCCCATACTTCTGGTAGAGCTCAGCAAGATATTTGGGAGTACGGCAGTTCTTGACCCAATGATTAGTCATTCCGCATCTTGAGCAAGGAGTTGGTCTAGATGAACTGCCTCTTTGGGTCGGTTTGTTGATACCACGACCCTTACCCCGACCAAAACTGAGGTTAGGTCGGTTATCTTGGTTCGGTCTACCGCGTCCTCTGCCGCGCAGTCCATGTCCATTTCCACGTCCACGTCCACGATCTGAGGATCTGTTACGTTGGACGAAGTTGGACTTTTTTCTGGTTCCTTCTGGGAATGGGACTGATCCTGGAGGCCGCATGGCACTGTTCCTTAACAGAAGCTGATTGTTCTTCTCAGCAAGCAGTAAGCAAGATATCAAATCCTCATAGGTGCTATGATTCATGGCACGGTATTGTTGTTGGAGAACAACATTGGGAGTGCCAAAAGTAGAGAATGTTTTCTCTAGCATATCCTTATCAGTGACCTCCTCGCCACATAGTTTTATGAGTGCAACTATCCGAAAGAGTTTGGAATTGAATTCTTCGACGAATTTGAAATCTTCGAACCGTAGGTTCTTCCAGTCGAACTTGGCTTGGGGCAGTATGACCGTTTTCTGATGGTCATATCGCTTTTTCAGTGCCACCCAAAGTTCGAGTGGATCCTCAAGAGTGAGGTATTGTTGCTTGAGAGACTCAGCGAGGTGATGGCGGATAATAAATATCGCCGAGTACCGTTCTGTTTGAGTCGCGGTGTTGGGATCTTTGATGCATTCACCCAGACTTTTTGAGTTGAGGTAGATCTTGGTGTCAAGGGCCCATTTGAGGTAGTTATCTCCGGAGACAGTGAGTGCCTCATATTCGACCTTCTGAATGTTTGACATCTGAAACATATAAAAATTTATGTTAAATAATCAATAGTATGAGACTATGGTCATTGGAATAAGGGATTTAAGGTATTCTTGGGAAAATTTTCCATTTCAGGAAACTTGCTATTTTAGGAAACTTGCTATATAAGGGAACTCTAAAATCGAACCTTAGGGTTTATAACCTAGCCGGTTTACTAGGGTTTCCAAATTTAGCTCTAATAGATAAACATTGGTTTATCTCTTAACCATTTTTTTTAAAAAATCTAGAGATTGATTTTGGAAACTAATTTGAAATTAACCGATTAAGCTTAAACCGATCGGATTGATCGATTAAACAATAAAACCGGTTAAATTAGATTTAATTTTGGAAACCGGTTATTAAGGTTATTAATCGGTTAAGGGATTAAACTAAACGGATTTGCTAGGGTTTAGGTTTTATATGATAAAGCCGATTAGGAAAAATAAAACCAATTAGGGTTTTGACAAGAAGAAAGAGGATCGGTTTGGTTATGGTTTTAAAAACGAAAAAGACGATGAAGAATCATGAAAAGAACCGATCCATATTAGGGTTTTCAAAAAAAAACCAAAACTTTGATTAGGATTTATAGTTTTAGATAATACCTTTTCGCCAAATGGATTTCTGACCGGCTTATGATCTGGGAGCTAAAGACCACAGATATCTACTGGAAACTCCTGAGAATGATGGCCAGAAGGGAAGACGAACAGCTGCTACAATGGAGGAACCACCGCTTGGAAAGAATCACCCGCTAAGGTGGGACAGCGCCGATTGTTTTGAGTGTTGAGGGCGCGTCTGGTGTCGGATTGAGGAGCGGTTTTCACCACTAGATTTTTCTCTTCCAGGGCTTCAAAATGATATGTAGATCGCCTTCTAACTCCTTGTATTTTGAGAGATATGATCGTTTGAAGTTGAGCTTCGTGCTGATAACGTATTAAGGGAAAAAACTCTCATCTTATTGTTTCCATAAACAGTGTATATATACATTACATAACTAATGTATCAGAAACCCTAATGAGACATGAGACATTAACCTGATGGTTAATGGGCCGGTTACTAGAAGTCCATTTGTTTATAACAACACTATCATTTTCCTGACGATGTTCTAAGTGTAATCCACCCGATTTTCCCGGAAGCCAAACACTCGGAAATGTCCATATATATGACACCACACGATCTCTCTAATCTCTATAGTATAAAAAACCAAATTTGCTAGACTAAGATTTTTTTAAATAGAAAGTATTTACCTATAAATAACTCTATTAGCATTTAGCACAATCATCTCCAAATAAGTAAGCCCAGGAAGAGAAGAAAACAAAGTTTTTTTTTTCTTATAAAGAAAACAGAGATATTAATCAACCAAACCCTAGAATGGCTGCAAAACTTATAGTCCTATGCTGCTTACTAACGTACGCTTTGGCGATGGTCGCAGCATCATCGGAAGCTGAGCCTCCCGCAGCAAGGAAACTTGGTGGGCACGAGTGGCCAAGAGCGGAGGCAGAAGCACCGGAGGTTTCAAATTCGGAAGAGACTGTACGGCGAGGCCACCACCATTCAACGGTTGACAGATCGGTCGCCGGCGGTGGAGTGATACTCGGCGGTTTAGCGACTACGTTTCTTGTGGTGGTGTTTTGTTATATAAGGGCCACTAGTAAGCACAAAACCAATAACTATGATGAGAAGGAGACTGAAACTCCTAAGGTTTTAGTTTAATGTTTTTATTGTTGTGTGTCTAGAGTTTGTTTTTTATATGTTTGTAAATTTTTTCATTTATAAAAAAAGTTTTGTGTAATAATTTGATTTCTTTTTCTTTTCTTCGTAGTTAGTAATGTAATTAAGCTGAGGTTGAATCTTCTCATATTCGTCTTTCTTTTTTAAAAAAAAAATTAAGGTTATTTTCAAGTTTAGTTTTTAATTAAAATAAACCTATGTTTCTCTTCTATTTGCTTGGAGCATGTTTAAAATATTATGCTTCCCCCAATGCATATATATTTGTTTACAAACCTAAACAAAGATAAAAAATGAGTTCAATATCAACGGTGTTGATTCAGGAGTACTGAAGCAAAATAAATGGTTTCTGTTTTTTTTTTTAAGATTGAGAAGCAAACTAAATTACATACGGTTTTTGATAAATTTAATGTTTATATAAAACTTATAGCGGTTTAATTGATACTTGAATCAAGTTTTCTTTAAAACATCATAATATATACATTTTTGTTGTCTTTTAAAATCAAATTTAAACAGAAATTCAAACATCAATTAAAGGTGAGACTCATCTTTGAAATCTCTTATAAAACAATGGTGTGAGAACCTCATATTTGAAATCTTCTAGAATTTTTTTTTTTAAAATATGTAACTATATTTATTAGTAAAACCAATCAAACTGTATACAAAATAATGAAACAAAGCTTATATAACGAGGTGAAAAAAATCTTATCTAACCAAATCAGTGGCCAACTTCGGTAGTAGGTAAATTCAATTCAGTTTCATATCAGCTTAATCAAATTTATAGTTTGAGGCTTTAGGCCTTTCTCAGGGATTTTTAAATAAAAGTTGTTACATTCATTTTACTACTTAATTATCGTTATTTGGGCCTAGAGATGATTGCTTCTTTCAAAAATCCAGATAGACCCCATTTCTTCTACATCTGTGAACGTCATTGCTTACGTAATTACTAAGACCTAATCATAAATGTAAGGATTTTTAAATCAAACTTAACATGAACGTAATGAATCCGACAAAAGCTGACGGTATCACCGATTCAAAAAAGGTTACACAATTGATATCAATAAAATGATTGTTGTAACGGCAATTTTGAAAGGTACCACTAATATATAGTTGACATTTTAGTAACATGTTCATAGTTTCATATTAAAGGTGAGATTGACAGCAAAAAAGGGTACTATGTGATGTGCGTTTACCAATTACTATCACCTTAAATTTGTGTGACATTATAAACAACTATATACTGTAGACTGTAGTAACTAAATCTCAAGCACCACCCTCCATGAAAGTCAAAATGCTTGACCACTGCAACTAATACTTTCTTTATTATTCTTTTCATTTTTTTGGCATTAATTAATTATCGTTTTTTATCAGTTATCATGGCCTATATTTCTTAATCCATGCACTTAACCAAACCCACAGTGACTATAAATAGCTGCGATCGCCACCATTTATAACACACACACAAAGAAGAAGACAAAACCAAGTTATCTATTTTGTTCTAAACCGGACAGATGAACCAAGAAGAGCACGTTAAGCTTTTGGGGTTATGGGGAAGTCCTTTTAGCAAAAGAGTAGAGATGGTCCTTAAACTTAAGGGCATACCTTATGAATACATTGAAGAAGATGTTTATGGTAATAAGAGCCCTATGCTTCTCAAGTATAATCCTATTCACAAGAAAGTCCCTGTCCTCATCCACGGTGGCAAGTGCATCGCTGAATCTCTGGTAATTGTTGAATACATCGAAGATACGTGGAAGACAAGCTATCCGATTTTGCCTCAAGATCCGTATGAACGTTCCATGGCCCGCTTTTGGGCTAAGTATGTGGATGAGAAGGTACAGATATATGCTGCTGGTCTTTATACAAAAAACTTTTAGATATCTCAGATTTATATTATAGAAAAAACATCCATTCTTCAAGTTTAAAAAATATTCAATTGATATGAAGATCACATTTATCATCATGCATGTTTAACAAACATTTATTTTAGGGGTTTTAGCAGTTATAACTTGTATTGTTCTGCGGATTTTAGGTGATGTTAGCATTGTGGAAGGCTTGTTGGGGGCCAGAAAGCGAAAGAGAAAAATTGGTGGAAGAAGCTTATGAGGGTTTGAAATGCCTTGAAACAGAGCTTGGAGAGAAACGTTTTTTCGGAGGAGAGACGATTGGATTTGTAGATATAGCGGCTGATTTCATAGGATATTGGTTAGGGATCGTTCAAGAAGCTTCAGGTGTGACGATCATGACCGCAGAGAAGTTTTTAAAACTTCAACGTTGGTCTGAAGATTTCGTTGGGAATAATGTTATTAAGGAAGTCTTGCCGCCTAAGCAGAAGCTCGCGGCTCTTCTCAAAGCGCAATTTGGAAATGCGAAATCTAACTAAACGTAATAAGAGCCCTCTTTATTTCAATTGAACCACTCCCTCGATGCCTCTAAGGTCGCCAAGCCTGAAGATTGCCAATCTCAACTCTATTGGAAGTTTACTTTCGATGTGTTACATTTCAATCTTAAATATATTGTTCTTTTCGTCAAAAAAAAAATTTATTGGTCTTTATCTTACACCATTGTGGAGATTATCGTTGTATCAACGAGAAAACCCGAACTATTCTTTAGAGGAGCCATTTCCTTCTTCTTTTATTTGGTTCTGAATAACATAATATAAAAAAGTCTAATTCTTTGAACAAACAAAAAAGTTTAATCAACCTGACTCAAAACTGCTGAAAAACCAAACCGAGCTGATTCAAAACTGCTAATTGGATTGTACATTGAAAATTGTGATGAATGACGACGAGTGATTAAATTGATAAATAAAGGAAGCTATATCAATGCATTTATTACAGGCGATTCAGTCGGATCTGTGAGAACATATAATTTATGGTAACTCATGTAACTGTATAATCAGATATGTTTGCTTATTAAATTTTTAAACGAATCGATTTATACTTGCATACTTGCCAGTTGCCACTTGCCAGTGCTACGACTCAACCATGCATACATTTGAAATTTAAAAGTTTTTATTTATAATTTTTTTCCAGAACCAGAAGCAAAAATACATTTATATATGTAGTGGACGTTATAATAATATAATATAATAATAATAGAAGGGGTTATTAATGTAACACAGTAACACTATCTCGTCTACAATTTTCAATATCTTCTTGTAATACTCAAAAGATTGGATCTACAATCTGACGAAAGAAATAAGAAAGGCGTAAGTTGCTCCTTTAATCCCCCTTGCTGCTGTTGATGATTATCGGTACAGATCGTAATCCATTTTTTCAATACTTCAGTTAAATGTTAAAAGATTTCATTATTATTTACTCAACATATATCAAATCCATTATCCTCTTTTTATTTATTTTTTATAATTTATATTTACATGATAAGCGAATAAAATAAATTGTTTAGATTTTGAATATAATAATGCATGCAATTATAACCCGTATAATTAGATGTTATATCAAATTTATGTTTAATTATCCAAAAATAATTAAGATTGGAATAGAGAAAACAGTTAGGTACGGACCATTTAATTTCCTCATTCGCATTGATTAGGTTTCTCCCCACCTTTATTTCTATGGGCTGGTCAAAGATTTGTTTCTAGATTACTTATTCTGTTTTAGGAAAAGTATCATTTTGACATATTTCACATAAATAAAAAACATTTGATCATAAGAATATCCTTATTTAATATATATCATAAATTAGATGAAAATGATTTAAATTAAAAAAGGTGAAAATTTGAATAAGAATTTTGTCTAATTTTGTTTAAAACTACATTGGAAATATAAAACAACATCTTTAGGATACAGATGGAGTATCTGTTGTAATTGAGCTGAGTAGCAAAAACGTAACTGGGCATGATCACCCTTGTATTTTCTTTTCTTATGCATTTTAAATAGAGATTAAATTATAAAGAAAAGATGTAAAATGAGTTTGCTCGAGGCAGTGTTAATTCACAATACATAAATTTTAAAAAGTTACTAAATTTACCGGAGATGGAGGCTTCGTTGTTTTAGAGTTCCAAAACGATTCATTACAATTTGATATTGTTGCTCGTTAAACACGAGAAATATTTTATGCTTTCAAATTTGAAAGCAAATGAAGACATCGTCTATTATTGGCATTATTATTTGGAATATGTGAGCTAAGATATAATCTAAAAGAAGCTTCATCTTCTTTTGGAGTTACACACTTACACAACGACTTATTCTATTTAATTATTTTCGTGCAACTAATGACGACGTATTCTATTCAAAGTCACATTTTAATATGTTGCTCGTTGGACACGCGGAATATTATACAGTATGTTCGAAATCTCAAAATTTATAATAATGTAATGATAAATATCGAACAAGGATTTATGCTATATGAATATAACAAAACTTTCTGCTATCTATTAGTAATTGGCAAATAGAAATTATATATATAATTTGTAACAAAATACATCATATGTTACTTAAATCTCTACATATCATCTACGCACCTTCTGTATATTAGTTTCTAATAGTTTTTCATTTTATTTATTACTCAAATATTAATTTATAAATAAAATATATATACATGTAATGTTTTATCACGTACATTTAAAATATCTCTATATAGAATTTTCAGTAGTAATTAATTGCTTGTATTGAATTAACAAAATCAAAATTGAATTTTGTAAACATTTACCATAAAACATAATTCTTTTTAAGTATAGAATTACATCAATTTTTAAACTTGTAATAACATCAATATAATTTTTATATGACTAGTTTTATATAATCAATTCAAATTAATATGACTAATATTATATAATCGATTAAGTGTTTCGGAAAATGTATTAAATACTTTGTTTTCTCCTCTATATAATACTCCCCCATAAAATTACATTAAGTTTTATATCTTTATAACAAAAATTCATCACCAATATACTTAATAATCAATTGTTTTTGCGCATTAAAAACTCATGCATGTGGTAAAGTCATCATCTAGTAGTGTTA